CTGAATGCAACAGTTCAAATGAGAACCCTGCTGAATGCAACAGAATGCAATAGTTCAAATGAGAACCCTGCTGAATGCAACAGTTCATATGAGAACCCTGCTGAATGCAACAGAATTTAACATACATGTAAATTGTAGCTAAAATGAGAACCTGCTGAAAACAGAATGCAACACAGCTGAAATGAAAACCTTGCTGAAAACAGAATGCAACACAGTTGAAGTGAAAACCCTATTGAATACAAAAGAATGCAACATAATTAAAATGAAAACCTTGCTGAAAGTAAAAGATTGCAACGCAGCTCCAGTAAGGTGCAACAGTAGGTTTTAACACAGATGAAATGAGAACCCTGCTGAATGCAATGAGATGCATCAAAATATCTCAGTAGATTTTATGGAACTGAGTGGTCAACTCGAAGAACATCAGCATGGGCCTTATCAAATTATTACACAGTGTACTCTGCCTCTTGTGTTCACCAGTAAATGTACAAACTGTAGGCCTCCCACAACTTGCTACCATTAGTGGGACTATGAACTTGAAAACAAGACTAGTTCCTTGATGATGTCTCCCAGTTTGACTTCGTGCAGAAATCAGGATGATACAATGTGGTATCTCAACTATTAGAAAATCCTTCTCTCACCTCGAGGAGTAGTTCCATGAACTCTTGTCCGAACTCCCGCCGTGTCCTGATGAGGAGACTGAGGAGCATTCCAGGAGCAATGCCCAAGGGTGAGAATAGAGGTGAGCTGAGCAGGGGGATCTGGAGCTCCAAGGTGGGATCTCTCAAGGGGGAATCGTCACTGCTGTTGGAAAGGAAGTAGGAAGATTTCATGGCAACTGTTTTCTTACAGCAAGCTACAACTATTATGGTTACAAGCAAAACGCAACTTATTGAAGGAATTTAAAAAGTATACCATGTGTATAATTGTTTGACACTTGCACTAATGGGTATAAAAATTAATATGCAGGCTGATTTTGTCCAAAGAAAAATGTTACATGTTCATTAGACACCAACTCATTTGAAAGATATGTAAAAGCATTTTGACCAAGCCTTATTTGTGCTCAGTCTTCCAACAGGACATGAATTGGTTTATTTCACTCTACAATCATCTATCAGGAATGCTTCTACAGCGGTACAAAACTCCTTACCTCGGGGGGTTGCGATCCTGTGATGACCCAAACACATCCTCCATGACCTCTGCTCCTCTTGATAGCTCTCTGCTAGGTTGGTGGCTCCTCTGCGGGAGCAAGCGTGGGATTGCATCACTGCGATCATTTTGATACCTTCTCCTGGCGTCACGGCTAAGACGTCCCTCCTCCACCGAAAATGTGAAGTTGTCTTGACCAAAGTCCGAAGACAGGTTGACTCCTGCACCACCATTTTGAGTCTCTGGAGAAGAGGTTGCACGTAGTTGCCTTGGCGAGGTGATTTCACTTGAGCTTAACCTTCCATGAGCTGTCACGCCAGATGTAGTTGCTGTTTCACGCATCCTCCATCTCTGGTGGGGCATCGAACTGTCAAGGACAGGCCCAGAGTGGAGGATGGGTGAGAAAGCTACCGTGCTGCCTGATGCAGTACGGAACGAATCTTCTTGCAAAGCAAGGTCGCCACTGCCGACAGAAGAGCTGAAACTACTGTGGATGCCTATTGATGCTCCAAGCTCTTCAGAAGTCTGACGTGAGGTGGATGTGTCAGGGCCGAAGTGGGCTCGATGGTGCCTCCTGAGGAGAGGTGGTGAAGGAGGGCCATACAGGAGGTCTCGATTTGGAGTAAGTGTGGACGCCTGGACTTCGTGATTTGTCTGTGACCTACCCCTGGAGAGAGAGAAGAATCGGTACCTCTGACGATTTGTTCCTTCAAATGGTTCTTCTACGGCAGGTGTAGGACTGCCACTTGCATCGTGTGTTGGGTGAGTGCTTTCTCCTGCTGCATCCAAGTCGGAGGATGGCATTCTTATCCTCCGGCCGAAGCGACTGTGTCTAGCTTGCTGTGAGGTGCTACTGGGATTGACTGCTGATGTTGAGTTCATGTTGCTACTTGACGGAGGCTGTGTAGCATGAACTAAATGAGGGCTGACTCTTGGAGAAGGCAGCTGTTGGCTGGCTGATGAGCCCCTCTCATTTGGCAGTTCAGGACCTTCTGGGGTGCTGCTCCCTGCAGTTGTCAGATGACCAGAAGAAGTCTGATCACTGTGAGAAGAAATTTCGTCTCTCCTTCGACTTGGTCTATAATTTGATGCAAATGAGGGTGTTGAAACTTGACTGGGTTGAATTTGACTAGTATCCGCTGTTCCGTCCAAGTTCATTCTTCGACGGATGACACTATTTGGCTGCTGACTGCTGAGGAGTGGCTCACCACCACTGACATCTGATTCATTGTTACTGGGAGCCTGTAAATTTGCCTCAGATTCACTCTGGAGAGCACTGCGATTATTAGTGTTTGCAATTGTTGAAGAGATGCTGGAAGTGACAGATGACTGCTCATTACCTGCTGAGCTCTCTGGTTGAGCTGCAGCTTTAAATTCTGCAGATGGTGAAATGGCACGGGCACTATGACTGGATGCCAAGTCACACCCATCAAAGACATTATGGATAGGAGGTTCCCTAAATGAATTCTGGCTGGAGGATGCTGACTGAGAACTGGGCCCATTCCCTGTTTGTTGCAAATCCGGCCTTGCATTAGCTTCCAGAGTATTTTCCGCAATATTACTAGATATCGCTGAACTACTTCCAAATCCAGAGACTGACATGCCATTGGAAATATGTTGTGCAGTTTCTTCACTCTCATTATCACTTGTTGACTGCTCTTTCTTACTCAATGATGGCACACCATGGCTTGTAATGTCACTTTGGGTATGTCTTCTGTGTTTATTTTCTGACTGAGCTTTTCTCACTCCATTACCAACTCCTTGAGTGCTTAGCTGCCTGGGAGCTCTCATTCCATCTTTTCGGCTGTCACTGCTTTTCTTTAACACTTTTGCTTTGCTACTGTGCTTGGTTTCATCTAGAGATAGGCTCTGACTTCTCTCAGCATTCTCAGCTACTGAGCTGCTGCTTAGCTCATCAACACTCTCAGGACTCTCTTGTAAACGAGCTGCCCGTCTGTGCTCGCTTTCTGTCGAGGAAAAGAGACTATTTTGTCTTGCTGGGTTTTGTAGTGTAGCTTTCTTACCCACTGGAAGCCGCGACTCGTAGCTGCCATCTCTGGGAGCTCGCTGAAAAGGTATCAGCTCTCCTGATGAGTTGATTGATGACCGATGCAACAGCCTCTTGGAATTGGTCCTCTCGCTGAGCACCCTCTCCCTCTTGGGTCTCCCTCCCTCGGAATTCCAGTTTCTCAACCGATCTGCATTTTCAGTACCTGTGGCCAAGCTGCGACTAGGCCTGTTGTGGACGGACAGATGATGCCTACCGTTTTCGCCTCGGGAAACTTGCTGAGATGGTAGCCTGGGTCTAAGATCCCTTTTGGCCTTAGGGGTTGACTGAAAAGAAGTGGAGGTCCCCTGAGGGGTGTAACCTACCCCAGGTAAATCTCTGGATGGCCTCTCTCTGGTCTTATCACTGGCAGCTCTAGTGCAGTGAGAAGAATCAATTGAAGGCAAACCAGGTCCACTACTTGATGATGACATGGTAGAGTGACTTACACGTACGCAACAAGTTCAGCCCATTTTTGCAGCCCAGGTAAACAGTTTTCCATGAAAACTGCTCAGTCAGCCATGTGACAACCAAATTTAAGAAAGACTGTTTCACTGGGAAACATGCGTCTAAGAGGACATCTTTAGGCACACCACTTTAGATGTGAAGACATTCTCCTCAGATGGGCAGAAAAGGCTTGCCTCATTGCAAGAAAGTACACAGTCAAGCCTTAAGACAATCAGGGTGTATCTGCTGCCTGCACACTAGGCTCATGTCAGGACTGAATGACCAGGTATGCAGTGCAAAGCTAGTGGCTGGATTGGAAGTCTTACAGCTTGAAGTCTGTCTCACTGTAAATAAAAGAAGGAAATAAAATGTCAAGGTAAATACATGTATGAGATAGTTATAGACAATTAAAGAGACAAAGCAGCATTGTATGGATATCAACTTTGACTTTCAAATGTACTATCAGTTCATAGTTCAAAGGTCATTACAGAGGTGATATTATTTCGGGGATTGTGTAGTTGGGGATACTGTTCCGATAACAGAACCGAGAATTACATTTTAATTTTCAGACCCACCTAGGCAGATCACAGTGACCTCATGTTGAATAGAGCTCTGCAGGGATTAATTTTATGACAAGAGGTCTAGGTTTAGAAAGTTTAGAGTTTCTGGGGGAAATTATCGGGTAAAAAGTGTCAGTGTTAATATACATGACACATGGCAGAATAAATTTCACGTTGGTTATCTGTTAAAAAGTCAGATTTTCTCATTACCAGCAATTCGGAAACGGGAAAATGAATTTTAATGAAAATGTTTTTTATTTACCTTCTCAAGCACAAAGTTCCCTTGGTCTTTCAATATTTAACATTCTAGCATAATAAATTACAAGTAAAGTCCCTCAATGGGTTTACTGATTGTCTTCACTACATGTAGCCCCACACTAAAAAAGGCACATCAATCCTCCAGTGGTCTTTGTCTTCTCTTCCTTACACCCCCATGACTCCATATTAACCATCCACATCCATGTCTCTACATTCCCCTCCAAAAATAAATCCATAACTGGGCACTTTGTAATTTGGTGGAAAAAATATCAAGTTTGGTCCAATCACAAGGTTCCACCAGTACCTGAATGAGCGTGTAATCGGTAGGGCTACTTAACCCCCTGCCCCAGCTCGTGTCTTCAGGAGCGAAGACCCAGGTGCAAGGACATATACCATCCTAAAGTGCCCCTTGCACTTTTTGTTGCTCAGTTAGGAATGAGAGGCAACTCCTTAAATTGACTTTCTGTCGCATTCCTAACTTCTCGCACCATCTTGTCACGTGCTTTGTCGATAGAGAGTACGATTCCCCAGGTCACGCTTTGGGGAATCCGGTTTGCCTTTCCACCCGGCCCACTTCTCACCACCCCTTATTCTCTGTTGAAGCACCACCTCCCTAGACTCGCCAAGACATAGCCACCGACACTGCCTGGATCTCATCTGAGTAGGTCATTGGCTACACAAGACCAAGTTCTGAAGAGTACCAACTAAGGCCTTTCCCCTTTTTGACACTGTATTAGAGCTCATTGACTTCAGTACTTTGCATCCATTGACACTTATTCTATGTGGATATTTCAGTAGTTTGCGCATTATACATACAGTACATACATGTGCTTCACCCAAATACTCTAGACATTTCTAAATTGCTACCATTCGTTGATAATTATCCTTTTTTTCCTCAATTTGAGAGCTGCTTTTCCCTCTTCCTGTTTTGTTGATGTCGTGCGTGTTGCTTTCAGTTCATCTGCTTTTTTCCACCACTGAAATGCTACACGCTGAATATTGGTATTGATTTCTTTATTTTGTTATTCTTTTCTTGACCACTGTGTTTATGATTTATACGACATACCTGGCTGACTAATAACAATACTTGTGTCCCAGGAGAAAGGAGAACCAACTTAACTAAGTTTGCTATCTGTTTGATTTCTTTCCTGAGCAAAATCCTGACCTTTACAAAAACAAACTGGTACAGGCCCTCAGACCATGCTGTCACCTGTGACAAAAACAAGGAACAAATATTTTTTAAGAGAAGACAAATAGTCTGAAAGTCCTTCAGAAACACCTTCCTGGGGATGGAAGACCAGCAGGGGTCATTCTAGCATTTACTGCCATGTTCCTTGTTATTTGCAACCCCTGCAACCACCCTCATTGTAAAAAAAACCCATCCCCATTCACACCCCCCACCCTTTCTGAAGTGATCATGCTGACGTATATTCATCCTGACATTACCTTTATTCATGAACATGAACATGTGAAATTATTTGAGGAAAATTACATGTAAAGGTCAGTTTGTATGTACTTGCTGCTTCATCGAAACTCTTTCAGTCATTTGAAATAATATACATCTATCCCACGCCCCGGTTCTAAACTTAAAAACTAAAAGTGCACACTTTAGCGACCCTGTTGCCTCCATTTCAACCAAGGCAAAGGCAGTTTTCCACAGTCAAAATGGCTTTGACAAAAGTCTTGTGGGTGGAGTTCTTCACCAGCAAACCAGAGTGGGAAAGTGAATGAATCACACCATACATGTACTTTTCTCAAATTGAAATAAAATACCAAAACCCCATGCTCCGCCTGGAGATTGCATTGAATCTGATGTCACTGTTCTCCTCAATCTGCGGAATCAAGTCAACTCGCCTCCTGGCTAACTTGCCCCTTACCAACTCGCTGCTTACAGACTTGCCCCTTGCCAATTCACCCCCTGACTGATTTGCCCCTCATCATCTCGCTCAATTGCAAATTCATTCATTACGACAAAGCATGCTTACTTTATTCTTTGCACTTGCCATCGGAGTTTCTGGCACACAGCTACATGCGCACTCAGGTGCTGTTCTTTTTCTAGGGGGGGCAGGGGATTAAGCCCCCCCCCCTCAAAATGCAAGAAAAAGACCATAAAATATTGGAATTGGAATAATTTTTAGAGCCATGACATAAGCACAGAAAATTCTCAACTCAAAATAATGATGGTGGTAATGGTAATACTAGTTGTGATAATAAACAGGAGACGAACACAGCTTGAAGTTGTGAGTCAAGAACATTTCATTTCCTTTTAATCACAATTTGTGTGTGTTTAGAGTGAGATTCACACAAAATCAGTTGCATTTATATCAGCTTCGCGGAACCATTCAAATACCCTATGCATCCAGCCAACTCGTCTTGAATTTCTCACAACATACATGTAGGCCCATCCGTTCCAAAAAAAAAGCTATGATTGTTTTTTCCTGGACCATTGCCCATCACGCACAGCTCGGGATGGCTTGCTGTAGGTACATGTATGCGTGCTAGACAATGAACTTTGATGGCAACCACAAAATATAAACTACGTGTAAGTGCGCTTTACAATCAAATGAGTGCAAGTTCATTGAATAGTTCTCAGTATGCCACTTTCATGTCTTTGGGTGAAAATGACAAATTTCGCGAATGGTCCAAAGTTGAGGACTCCCTTCTGAGGGGGCAACTTGGTCAGGAGACAAATTTACAAAGGGGGTAAGTCGACAAAAAGGCGAGAAGTTACAGAAAAGCGAATTTACTAACCTCTTCTCCTTCGATCAACCGATCAAGGCGTGACTGTTGTGAAGGAAACTAATTCCGCTAAAGCGCCCTCTTGCGAGGAACGAGAAAAAGGACACTAGACTGGCTCACCGTCGCTAGTAATAGTGGGGAATTCAATCGAAATACATGTAGGCCTATAGGCTATAGTTGATAATAGTCGATATATATACGAGACCATTCGAAAGGTCCATGCAACCAAATTTTAAAGTCAAACTACCAGTAAGTCGTGTTCTCTCAAAATTCACGCTGCCGCAATGCAAAGGCGGGGGCATTTCAAGAACTTTTCTTCTGAATTACAATCACTTCAACTCCCGTGGCCATAATGGATTCAAGTTGTTGGATTCGCCACTTTCGGTACTGAGCCTTTATTTTATCGGCAGAATGGCCAAATGTGCATAATGTCCATGCACTTTGATGTTACATTTTAAGTTTGCGCCATGGGATGTTAATTAAGCTTATCGCGGACCCTTAGCTCCTCCTCCATAAGGGACGCTTGCGACTTGCTCATGGTTCTTAATAGTCGATACTCGATCTGTACTTCTGTCGATAATGAACTTAGGACACGAACGAACGGTTGAAAACCAGCTACTTGAAAGACGCTCTTGCCCAAAAGTGGGCGGGTATACAGGGGCATAAATTCCGTGGGGAATTTGGTGTACATCTCCTACTTTTTGACCAAAGGGGAAGGGCTATTAAATCAACCACCCCCTCTTCCGAGGGAATTTTTTTTTAATTTAGCCAACAAAAAACCTATTAGGCCTACGTCTTGACAGCTCTGAAAGACTGAAAAAAATTACAACTTTAAACAGGCGCCGCTTTTATGCAAGGTACAAGTATACATAAGACTTGGATCTGAATCATGAACAGCGCCCCTTGGCGTCATGTAGGGTCCATGTCTGGTTTTGATTTGTAATCCGCCAGCTCCAGTCCTGATGCAAAGATATACGCCGTTGATAAAAATATCTACCGAGTTCACACGCAAGTTTGATTGCTCGACGTAAAGTATTAATATTTTCCACAAAGTTTGAGTTTAGATGAAGCAAAAAATTCCTGGATTAATTTAACTTTCTGTGTTTTCAACGTAGCAACCAAGTGACGTGTTTTAGGCTATACACGGCTCTCGGCGCTGAACGAAAGGCCTCGTTTTGTTCACAAGTACGTGTGACGTCATATATAGTCTAGAAACGGATTCTTGCAATTCTACACATTTTCTTTCACAACATGCAATGCACTGTGCCTCAAGTTCTAACCAAAATCGGTAGAGATAAATGTAAAGATAAAATGAGCTTTCTCCACGCGATACAAGATTGTTCCTAGCCTCGACTCAATCCTTGCATTGCTCTGCTTGTCATCAGCCTTGCCACACCCGCTGTGGCTGGAAGACTCGCGACAGTGGTCGCTGTTTCATTATTGTCAGAATATCCCAGTTTTTGAAGTTAATTTTTTTTTACCGAAACTTATACAGACTAGCACAGCCATCCACATTTCAACCTTCACACAGGTCGTTGCTTTTTCTCGCCAAGAGAGCACTGTCTTTGTTATAACCACTGCATAAACCATTTTGCATGGACATCGGTTTGATGTTTGTAATTTGATTTTCAATCTGAACCCCACTTTAAATTCTTGCTTCATCCTGAATGTTTTCACTTTTGAGGAATGCAAAAAAGGAAAAGTTTGGAACTTGAATTAAGAGATGAGCTCCAAAGCTGCATTATAATGCTCCTATTATGCACACAATTTATTGCTCGGTGGACATTGAGGTAACCTGGCCTTTTCGACCAGCAATTTTCCTTAGCGTTTCTTTCACATGCAGAAACTTCCAACTGGATAAGAATGCTGTCTAACTTTTAAGTGGTTTGTAAATATTACTTCTCACAAAAGGCTTATTAACTCTAAATTCAAAAAGCGATAATCTATAATCTATTCGTAATTTAATATGAGAGTTTAATCCTCTTTACTGTTCACGCTGAAGCCTGGGTCTAGACCTTATCTGAGTCGTTGCCCGTCTGCGACGGGCTATTAAGTGTCTGTAGTGATCTAGATCATGTCCCGACTGCATTGATGGTTTCTTTTGGTAGTAAAACATACAGGCGACAGCAAAGAGACTAACGGCCGCTGTGGATGCCGACACGCCCACGATAAGGTAAAAAGCGGTGGGAGGGACGAAAAGTGCGTTGATCAAGGGCCTGACTTAATTCGTTTCTTCTCTCTTCTTCCACCTTATCGTTGCTGTCCTTCACATCCTCCGACTTGTTTGTCTCATCTCCGGTCGTCGATTCGCCTTGGGCGTTACCTTCTTCGCCGTCTCTGTCATCGTCGCTCGGTTGTGAGTTGTTCCCTGTCGGCTCGTTCTGGGACGCCCCGTTGTGAATCGCAACTCCGCCATTATTGCCTGGGTAGATTATCTGACTGTGCTGATGATCCGCTTGTCCCTGCTGGCTGGATTCAGTGGGTTGGTGCGTCTGACTAGGCTTGCTTGGTTCACTCGCCTCACTGGGTGGACGAGTTGGAGTTGGCTCGCTGGGCTGGTGCGCCTCCTGGCTAGGTAGATTAGATTCCTGACCAGGCTCCTGGCTGGGTTGTTCGAGCCCCTGATCTTTGTTGGGCTTCTTGTTTGGTGTTTGCTGGGAGCTTTGGACAGCTTGCTCGTTCCCGGAAAGCACCGCTGCCGCTTGTTCAATGACCGTCTCGGCCTCCTGTAGCAACGCTATGGCGTCCCCCACGGTGTCTCCACCTTCAAACAACCGTTGAAATCGAAAATAATTTGTTGGCAAGTAAAAACCACATCTGCTTTCTCCTAAATCCCTCGCGGTAGATCATGGACGACATGACTATGATAGAGAAATAAGTCACTGTTTGCATTGCAGATGAATTTGTGGTTAACTGTGAACTGCACAATAGCAATCAATGGGAAATTAAAAGCAGCTGCAGATTATGGACGAATACCTTACCTTGGGCAGTCGCACCGGCGTTCCCCACGGCATGCTTGCTTCCTTCCTCTCCGTTCTGCGCATCGCCCATGCTTGGGGTCGTCACAGCCATCGCTGCATTCTCCACACCTGTGAATAAATCCAGCACGAAACAATTTGTCTAACGTTTACAGGACAGAGTAATGCGTTCGTTGGTTCCCATGGGTATACATGTATAAAGTGGCACATGAAAAGTAAAAATGAGCGCATTGTTTGCTGGTGAGAATCGTCTAATGGCCATGTGATGCTTAATGGTAATTTGCATGACAACTCTGGTATTCGAATAACGATAGAAAGGTACGGTAATCAAGTGTGAGCAGAAGAGCTGCCGGGAAATGTTTGAACAGATATAAAAATGTTGAGGATCCTGCAACCCTAAACTCCATCCTCGCAATTAAAAACGCATTTTGATCAGACTTATCATCAAGTTCGGGATAGAAACTTTAAAGACATGGGTCCTGACCATCATTCCCCTGGACGTCGTTGTTCTGTTCCTTCGTATCCCCGTTCATGATTTTGTGGTGCACATTACTCATTTCTAGCGTTTCTTCGATAACTGCAACGCGGTCAGCAAGTCTCGTCCCTGCGAAATTTAAAAGGAAATGATGACAGCTGATATATGTGGCATGACTGACATGACACAGGGCGATGAACCCACGAATAAACGTGTCCATAATTGCTAAGGGTTCCAACATGACCAAAATAATGTAGATAAGAACCGTTTGGCCTTTCATATTTTCAAAAGGAACAAAAAAATTCGAGGTGCCTATTTTATCAGAAGCCAGCTTTTACCTGCTCCCTTTCAAGCCGTTGAAGCTTAAGATGCCTTTAGAGTTGTCCTACGCAAAGGATATATATGTAATGATCATTTTCACCATTGTATTCAACCCACCGTTGGTTTCCAGTCGAAGGATGCGCTCTTGAAGGCTCGCAAGTGTGTTCTGAATTGACTGTACCACATCGGAAATATCTGCAAAGGGATTGTTTTCCGAATAGAAATGAAAAAGGCGTAGTTGGAAAACAATGGTGAACCCCTCCCATCTAGTCTTACTTCTGCACTGAAATGTAGTTAATTTTAAAATGTAGTTAACTCTACTTGTGCTCAAAATCTGTAGAAGCTCGGTTCAAATACGAATTCTGAAATTACATGCAAAATTATGAAATGAACGGAATGCTATTGTACTAGGGCTAGTGTTTTTTGTAATTATACTTCAATTTAACTGCATTTTCAGGGGTTATCTAGTTTTCGGGGTTTTGGCACAAAACAAGTTTTCCAGTAACGACTACATGTATATTGACCAAAAGACGGCCTATGAAACTTCACACTAGTTACTGCATTCTGCTCTTAACTTGAGTTTCCGTACACGGAAAGCATTCAAATCTTCACACCGTATACCGTGGGCTTGTGGCATACAATGTAAATTGCTTTCTGTACAATTGTACCTTTTTGAGTCTTAAGGTAAAGTTCCCCACAACAGTACCCGGGGAATCCAGGGCTAGTGCGGAATTGATAAAGGTTTCCAAACTTACCGTATTCTTCTTTCTGTGTAGAGTCCCCCTCCTAGAAAATCGAGGGGAATTTGGAGGTAACAAAATTGGTTAAAACAGTTGTTATATAGTTTCGTCTCAGATAAATTTCATGAAAAATAAATCTACTAAAAATCAATCGTTACTCCCTTTTTATGTAAAATGTCTACGACTTTATTCTTATTCCACATGCAGTTTTACACAGGTAGTGAAGCTTGACATATAAGTCACAGGTGAGTGAAACACAGACTACTGTCACAGATGGGCAGTCAGAATCCGGCGTCAAACAAACCGCCATTTTTGCCCACTGGCCATTCAGGGCGAAGCATAGGTCGTAAAAGCATCTGCATAAATTCCTTGCATGAATGACATTCCAAAGGACCTTGCAAATAAAAAACCTGGAATTTGGCAAGAGTTAAGAATGCCGTTACAAGATGTTATCTTGATGCATTCCAAAAATGAGGATTTACAGTCAAAACACAACATCTGAGTAATTTCAAAACGAAATTGCAGTACTTAGTAGTGTTCGTCAGTAGATACCGATTATTTTATATATTAAGGTCGCTTGTTTGCGATTATGTTATTGCCAGACAAGAACTCAGGGCTCCAAAAAACCGTTCAAAATGGACCCTACCTGTTGCATACCAAGAAGTTGCACTCGCTTGGTGACTTTCTGAGGCATGGACTGGACCTGAAAAAATAAAGCCAGTGCCACACCCATCAGAATCACAATATCCACGCGAGCCATGGCGGGGAAAACAGACGTGTTATCACGAAGGACTTCCTTGAGGAAACTGAATTTGTCACCGCAGCGTACACACCCGCCCCTAACCCAGCTCTCAGACTGTAGACAGGTTGCACTCCCGAACAAGTACTCGCCCGCATGCGCACAGGTGTAGGTTATGACGTCACAGTGGTGCTGGCTCCCTGAATGGTTCATTTATTGCGTGCTAACTATGACCTGACCATTCAGAGCAGCTCGAAATGCATTCAAATGCCACACGGCGCTCATTTCGATCAATTAATTATTTTGGAAAGTTCGATTTTGGATCCGGGGGTTTTGATAGAGCTTTGATAAATCATATCATTACCACAAAAGCACGACGCTGTATTTAATTTCATAAAAAAGCAGTAACAGAGCAGAAAGCAACTGCGCAACATTACTGCAAGGTATTTAGTAGGATCTTGGCAGTGATATAACAACTAAGATGGTATAACTTAGATTTTTCATTCCCATCAGCTGTCTTGAAATGTCTTCTCGGCACGCCTTTCATTGAAGCCTGACATGTACGGCGTTGTTACGTAATACCACATTCCAAAAATTGTACCCTTCATATCTGCTCGAGTCCACCCACTCTCAGTGTCTTTCTTACTTTTCACGCCCTTTCTTTCTACAGTTCGATGCTTTCTACAAATCACCAAAGAGAATGGGTCCATACTCAATGCTCATGATCTTCATATTCATGGTAACATCCAGTCAAAATCATGGCACAGTTTACGTCGATGGGGCAAGAGATCCAGGGCTGTCCGTAAGCGTTCAGGTAACAATCGCCTATTATTCAATGCATTACTGTTTGGTTTAGGTTTCGTACCAAGCAGAATGCCCAATGATGTAGCCAAAACAGGGGGTTGCAAGGGAGGGGAGCGGGCTTGCCTTCCCTTCCGAAGCTTGGAGAGGAGAGGTGTGAAGCCAAAGGGGAAATACAACTGTTGGGGTGTACTCCAGAACTGCTCCGTTTCCTTTTGGGGGCCTACATAGGGAGGTTCTGGAGATGAATTGTAAGGCAGTTGTACGTGTACGCCGGCGTAATATGACTGAATTTCAACGCAAAGAAAGTAATTTCAGCCATCATGATGTCTTCACCATAAATTTATTAGGGCTGAGTCAATTCGAATAGTTCACTATTCGAATATTCGACCTTCAATTATATCAAATATCCGAATATTAGGTCGTAATGACCAGCAGATTGTTGATGAACAAACCATATATAAAATCAGTTGCATTAACACACGCAATTGTACATAATGATCATTATAATAGCTTCTCAAATCTAGGAGTATCTCCAGCCACTATTTAGCACGATTTAAGAGATAAACAAGACTCCTGCTGAAAATGTCTTTTCCTTTTAAATTATGACGTTTCAAATAGTAATAATTCTGACGATTTCTGACGCTTTTCATTTGAATCTGCTTGAAACAAGCCTCCATAGTGCAATTATTTTTCTCATTTAAAACAGAGGAAAATTTTTCCTTCGTTTTCATGACTTTTGCTTTCGAATATTCAAATTCGAAAAATAGTAGTTGAATTATCGAGAATCGATCGAACATTCGGTTATTCGGCACAGCTCTATAAAAATTCTTTTGGAGAGATTATATGCACAAGTTTCTCTGTTATAAGTTTTGGTTTTCCAACTGATTTCTTGCCCATTTCCTATAGAAACTGTCCTGAACGAGGGAGTAAAGTGGGTTGATTATGTTTTCCAAGTGTTGCTGTGTTTAAAGTTTTCAGGAAGATTAATCACTTTTGTTATGTTTTGTTTATGTAGAGAAAACAGCATGAGATGAGCCATCTGTCCATTGATAAGCATTTTGGTAAGTAAGAACATTACCCACACAAAGCATTGTGTAATTCCTGTCATGAACAATCTCATTATAGAAAACGGAATTGTTGCAGGGCATTTTTCATTTTTCTCACACTGAATTGCCATTCCATTCTTTAATTTTACTTTTTATTACACCGCTGCGTTGCTGTAATCAATCACAGTTCAATTATTTCAGGTTCCAGTAGCGACATCGGCAAAATATTGAAGCTCCTGATGGCATTAGAGGTTGCAACGACAAGACTTGAGCAAATTCGTGAGTAATTTAGAAGTATTGATGTGGGTATTAAAATACTCGTTAATGATTACTGATTACTTCTTGTTTTAGTAAAGTACCCCCAAATGAATTACATCTCCATTAAAGGTATTGCTAAAAGTTGGTTTAAATTTAAATTTCTTCAAGCGCAGATATGAAATTTATGACAAAAATAGTACTTTGGACTCTGTTTTATATTTCTGATTAAGAATGAAGATAATTTCATTTTCAGACAGTTACAAGTATGCAATTTATCTGGAAGTTCCCAGTTACGGAAATTTATCCATCTTGCTCAACACAAAATATCTTAAGAATAATTCCTACCAGCACAGCTTGTGTCTCACTTGTAATTTCAGTATTAACAGAAAATTATTCTTGTATCCTTCTTTGCGATGTCCTTGTATTTTTCTCGTCGCAACGCAAAAAGTGTGAATGGTTCTTTTGACATTAACTGTCACAGTTCTTGGCTGTTCCCGGGAAATTTTCATGTAAGGAATAAACTTGATGCAGGTTCTATTTAGCTATGAACTTTTGTTGGGGCACTGCACAGAAGCTGAACTTGATGAGAAGATTACCGGCATAGAGCAGAAGCTGCTTGTGCTAGAATCTCCGCCCGGCCGGCTGCCTTCCAACGAGATGCTCGGCGAAGTTGTTGTGAGTACGGACCTCATGCAGGTGTCAGATGCCATGGGACACATAGCCGCGCCTTCCGTACCAGACCGTGGTGGCGGTGCAGGACTAAGCACGCAAACGGTACCGATAGATTTGGTACACCAGAATCCTGGATTTTATACCGAGCAGCAACAACAAAAACCAACACAACCACCTCAGACGCAACAAGATATCCGAACGCAACCATTGCAAACGCAACAAGATCTTGAGGATCCACAGTCACAACCATCACTGCCACGGTCACAGCCGTCGCACCAAGACCAGGAACTAGAAAAGGAATCCCCTCTGCAACAACCGTCGTCATTACAACAGCAACGGCAGGGAACTGCTGGAAATAAGCTGGATGAAATCGACCAGATAATTGAACTGGCTAGTGGACTCAAACGCCGCCATGATGAGGCTCCACCGTCTAACCAAATGAGATCGTCAGGGTGGAGTCCACCTGTATGGAAGGACGACCGGAGAGCAAGAATTCCCCCAATTGTGGAGGCCTTGGCCCGCCAGGGAAAAATGGTGGAGAGGGAGGGGTTACCTTGGTTATCTCTCAAGTAGGGCTATTTACAGGTGTTTTTGTGGTACTGCAGATGCTTGATCATCTATCAACACTTTTACATGTCCTCCAGTGGCACCCATTCATTTGTATCAAGGGGACCAAGGGAGTGCCATTACACTATAATTTAGGGCCTGGGGATAAATGGGTGGGGAACAGTTATTTATAACGGGGAAAATCACTTCCAAAAATATCAGAAACTAAAGACTGTAATGGCCCGAGTCCTAAGTGGCACCAATGGGTGAGAATGCTCTTGTCTAAATGTAGTTTACTACAATATGTTAAAGGTCAGCTACGGCTGCTATAGCTAGGGCTACGATAGTTCACGCTTCTTAAATCCTCACAAAAACTTAAGCACAACAACTTTTTAAGATAGGCTGATAAGGAAACAACAGACGGAGAAAGGAAACGTGGAAAGGTGCAAATCCCTCCATCGAACGTAGCACAGTCACATGGACCACAAATTTATTCTTATCCTCTCGACATCGTTTTGGGGGTTTTAATAGTTACAAATAATATTATTGTTTAAGTACAACTTCGAATCCAAGTAGTTGGAAATAAAAAAAATGTATCAAAACGGACGTAACACACAAAACAGTTGCACAACTGAATTGTGATGGAGACAATGGCAATAAACATAGGCATTGATATTTCGAGAATTTGCTGTGACAGTAATGGTGTGTAGATTATCATGGCGGTTTTGATTTGTATCGGTATAACATTGCTCGATGTGTTGATTCGGGCGAAGTTGCACTGCAATTTTAAAAGAAAACCTTTGCTTTCTCCTCCAGCGCACGAGGTCGAAAGAAAAAGGCAGGTCACCCTTCTGACCCTGTCTAATTAAACAGTTTTGTATTCCAAAGTATGCACCACTTAAAACTTTAAAAACGTACCGTGAATTGGACTTGAACAGTCTCAAAAAGGGAAGTTATTGAAAATAGCAGTCACTTCACACAGAAACTCCCTTGATGGCATTCGTCAAAGGAACCATTATTATAAATGTTTCACCACTTACGTCGTCGACCGGGAATGGTGGATGGTACCATAACGTATCGTTCAATGTGATTTACAGCTCTAACAGGATGGATCCCTACTGATTTCTTTCTACCTCGTGCGCTGCGAACTAACGAAATTTTGAAGTTTTTATTTTGTTCTTCAAAATTCCCTTTCGTACCAGAATGATTTTGAAGATTCTGAAGACAAAAGTGAAAAAGGTGCAGGAGTTGAGAGAAAATGACGTTGAAAGTTGAGTCCCTGTACATGTTTCACATGCCCTCCAGCTTCTTGCCTCACTTGCCATTTATGCGCATGCTCACATTAATCAGAATTTATTAGCGAACTGGGATGCGTCCACGCGCCACACTCCATTTTGCGCCACGCTCCATTCCCCACAATAATACAAATTTGCCATTCCAACACGGTGTCCGTTATACACTGGGACATCAGTGTTTTCCCAAGTACCAGGTCAAAGAGCCTTTTACAGGCATAGCATCCCATAAAGGTCAGCCACTTGCTTCGTATTTTGTGAATAAAGCAATTTTAGAAATTTCTTCTCATTTGTAAACTGAAATAAGAGTCCAGTCACAACCTTCATAATGTTCAACTTTTTTAATAGAACATTCCCTGTTCAGTCTCTTACCAACTCGTTTCAGTTCTTGTTCGAGTGAAGCCTGGTTTGAATGCTTGTGCTGAGGCAAAAATTACTTGGGATCACTGAACTGAACACACTGGAAATGTCATGCAACATTCACTGCAACCGTTCCTACACACTACTTTAAACTTTGCATTGCTTGTGACTGTCCACTTGCATTTACTGATGATTCGATAGAAACAAAACGTCAGTTTAAAATCTAGTAAAACTCCAATCTAAACAGATCAGTATCCCCATCACATATATATAGGCTTACAAACTGAATTTAAAAATTTAATGAATGATGGAGAATTGGAACGACTCGGGCGATTAATTTTCTGTGAATTTTGAAGGTCAACAATCCACCGATTCCCCAACGCCTGTTTAGACAGCTTAACCCGACTGCGTAGATCACTTTGAGGGGGGCATATTGGGTTCCAACCCTTCAAACAATGAAGACTCCATTCCAATCAGTTTCAGTACCCTTTGCATTGGAGGGTTAAACTGTACACGAGATTTGTATGTCGATTTTTATAGACCGTTACAATATTTTATCTTTAATTCGGTTTGACTATTTCAAGACTTTAAATTACTAATATTTTTAGTACCGATACACTGAAATTGCTATTTACATGAACACGGTTCCAACTCCTGGTGGTAACTGAGATTTCGAATTTTTTTCCTTTTCCAACATGAACTCTGAACGCACATGCGATAGTGATGCCTGTTCCAAAGCAGAGAACTTCTCAAAACCTGGGTTGATTATTTTCTTCAACTATTGACAAGCAAGTATGCATTATATCGTTAAGATATTTCATAGCTGATGTCGGAACTAACCCGGTGATTGTTAAGTATGCGTCTCTTGAATCTGCAACCAAGCAGCTTTTGCATACCTAAAAACAGCTCATTTCGAAGTTCTTGACATGATATACAGCAGACGGTTTTTGTTTCAGTATATACCACAGAATTAAAATTATAAGCAAGAAATAAACTATGTCTACAACTTTCAATATTTACAATCACTCATTGGGTTTCCTGAAATGTCTTCTGCGAGTTTCACTTGCATTTTTATCGTCAGTGACTTTTTGTTCGGCTCTATACAAATACATAGACTTTAGGCAAAAACGGGATTTAAAGGGTCTGCATCTCCTGTACTACGATCCATGAAAATACATTTTTTGAGTTTCGATTAACCAGATATCATTGTTTCAATCCCGTTTTTCTTTTCAAGAAAATTTCTGCATACTCATGAGCAAATTGTGATGCCTTTCCAGAGAGAAACCTCGATGTTGTACAGATTCGTGCACACAGAAACTGCTAAAATGTTCACAATTCGCTGTTCGAAATGTAGGTTTCGTGGGCGATTCATTGTTGATTAATTATATGGCATCACTGCAAAGTGCCCTCTGTTGTCCACTGAAGCATATAAATCTATAAAATGCACTTTGCCATCACGAATTATCTCAAAGGATGTCAAAATCATTTTCACATAATGCAAAAGTGGTGTAAAATAGCACAAAACGTATTGGCCTTCCTGATAAAACTTCATGATGTCCGACTAATATCTAAAATGACAATGGCTCACGTGGGTATATGGATAATCTTTCAGTCTGTTATATATCGAGGTAGGTGTATTGCTTTGGGTTTTTTGTGATGATACTTTGACAAGTTTGTCTTAATTTTTTTACCATACTGGATTCCTCGAACACGTAACACACACACACAAAACTATAGTGTCTAGCTTGGAATACACACGAATGCGCAATTGCTAAGTACTACAAAATATCTACCAATCACACATCAAGTCATCATTTGAAATTAGACATTAACATATAGAACGGCATGGACGTAGCTTAAATCTGCTATGATGTTGGCCTCACACCTTTCTGTGTTTTTTAAAACAAACAAGAATACCGCATTAATGACTGAACAAATGCAAGGACAATTTCATAGCTAACTCTATCATCATGAAAAAAACTGCTGGGACTTTTTGCTTCATTTTATCAAATTGTCAGTTTCGTCAATAATTCAATATCAATTGAGAACATGGCAATCCAAGCACCCCTTTCTCTTTATGTTTTTACAAGCAAATTTGGTGTCTCAGATTGGTCAGACAAATCACTAACAAAGCATTGTCTTCCCTGATTGACGTCGCTGCAAAGTGCCCTCTCTTGTCCACAAAAGTATAAACAACTTCAAATGTTCAAAAAGTGCACTTTCCCAAAGCTTCAAAAGATGTAAAATCATTTTTATATATTGAAAAACGTATCAAGTAAGACAAAAAAGTATGTCTGAGAATTCTTCATTAATTGCTTGACCCATTAATCAATATCTAATATCTGAAATTACAATGGTTATTTCGGGTGTATGATATTCTTGTAGATTGTTATCAAAATGGGTACTTTATTTATCACAGGTCTCTGTGATTGTCTGACCGCTTTATTTTAATTTCGGCACCCTACTACAATTTCCCAAGACGTTACACAAAAACTAGTGGCCAGCTTTGAATAGATGCTCATTTATAATAGTAAAATATTGCAAAATGTGGACCAAACACACACTTCAACATAAAAAATATAATTTGAAATATAAATTTGAAATTATACATCAAGATAATGCAAATGGAATTGACATTGGCTGGTATCTTTAATGATGTTCGGCTCACATCTTTCAGGTGTTTTAAATTAGAGTATACAAGTAAGGAGTACCATTTTAAAATTGACTTATGCATGAATTAATCAAAAACCAACTTGCTCCATCCTCATAATCAGACACAATTAATATTAAACCCTTTCAAATTGCACAACCGTTGATAAGTCTGTGCGGGCTCACATCAGAGTCAATAGTGCGAAAATATTTCAAATAAATTTTGTACAGAGCCATTATATAGTTATAGAATTATATACCTTGCGGAAGTGGTTTCAAGGGACGTGTTTGTAATTTTTGATAAGATAAACGTGAATGATTCATCGCGTTCCATCCCTTTAGAGTGATGGGTGAATTCCACGTGGCTTTTACCAGAGGAAATCATAGGCGCAGGGAAATGTGGCTAGGATTGCTCTCTCTCTTGTAGGGCCATTTCCTCTTGTGAGGTGCCTACCTTGGCCCTCCCTTTGTACTTGCAGATCACGATTATGATGACAATGATGATGACCACAAGTACAACAGCCCCCACGACGATACCAATGATTTCACCGGTGCTCAAGCCGCCATCACCAGGGGATGTAGTTGTAGTAGTTGTCGCTGTAGTTGTAGTAGGTCCGCTGGTGGTCACAGCTACAATTAACATCCGAAAAAATAGAGGACGGTCGTGCAGCCAGAGGTAAATATATTTGCATGTAAAACGCGGAGGCATATAATTCGAAATGAAATATTGCTATATAATTGTTGTTGTTCAAATAGACGCATCAAGGTCTTGCGTAATTGATAGTTTCAGGTCATTATGATTTTACATAAGCTATTTTATTTAGTATCAAAGAGTATCCAAATAAAGACAGTGAATCCCAACCACAGATATCTTAACCACAGCAGAATAGAATCTAAAAGTAAAAGGTCACGCGGAGAGCCTCTGGGTACCCTCGCGTTGTCCGAGTGGAGTTTTTCAATTGGGCAGCCCTATTACGTTTTAAAAATGATTAGCAGAATGATGTCGGACTAAAACAACCCGCAAGCAACATTCATGTCGGAATCTCATACTTAAGTCTAATATTGTTAGAAACTCAAAAATGTAAATTAGTAAATTATCATTCCGTTGATTTTTTCATGTTATTTTTCCCATTCAAGAGGCCCGGAAGCACGCCATCAGGGTCAACTTTCAGGCTCTGTTACTTAGCTGCGGCTTGAAATTACACACGACTCAATGGTCAGCGGATGCAGACAACATCCAATAATTTTGTCACATCAGACGCAACACGTCTACGCGCGTGCTCAACGCGGCTGACGTCAAATGCGCAAACAGCACACGCAATGTTATTCCAGCTCGGAGCGATTCGAAGTGTTGACAACTTATCACGGATGAATGAAAAGAGATACGTACCTATGAAAACAATGCTACTTGAATCCACTTTCACATCAGTCGATGCGTTGGATGCAGCAATGATGTCATTCTTTATTTCATCTGCGGTCTTCGACTCACTTTCAAGGAAATACAACGCGAAGTTTACGACGATACTTCCACTGGAAAAGCTGTTTATCTCACAAATGGTGGCGTTGGTCGCATCCTCGAGGAACTAGGGAAAGTGTACATCAACAGAAAAGCCTGAATAAAATTGAATTAGCTTTAAAGCCAGAGTGGCATTGCTCATGCGCACATACACAATGTTCACATGTGGTATCTTCATGGACGGTATATAACTTGGTATGCAAATAAGTGGCCAAAAGCAGATAAGTCCGTATCATTTCTCAGGGTTGCAGAGCTCTGATTCCCTCCTAAAGGGATGTAAATGCTTCAGTGATTGTCCTCTAGTCTCTACAGCTCTTAAAAACCAAAAGTACATCACAGTACCGTGGGGGCCCTTTTCCCATGCTATCCCGATTTGGGGGGGGGGGAGGCTCACCACGCGCCAGCCAAGCCACACCACCACCACAACACCCCCAACCAAAATAACACTTCAGAGACAGCCGAAAGAGGCCTCTGACAAGTTCAAGACAACTGTCACTGATAAAAAAACATTACACTGCCTGGCCCAGGCACTGTTTTGTAAATAATCTATTAGGTTGTACACAAGGGGCCACTTAGCACACAGTCTTACGGGAGTTGGCTGGAGGCTGGCTGGATTTTTTATTTTTTTTCTGGCTAGGGGAGGCCCTGGCTTTAAAGTGACTAAACCAGGTTTTCCAGCATGAACAGGGGTAGGATAAGATGATAAGATAAATAGTTGTTGCATTCGGACGAAACAAATTTTTACACCTTAATTAGCTCCAGTGGCCTCTCCAAAAGAGGCCACTCCCTCCACGCAGTTTAAGACTACAACCAAAGTCGGCTCACTTTGCAAACTTGTTCGGCGGTGTCCATAAACAAAGTTGAAGAATTGTCGGCTAGATCGCTGTTGTACACTGCAGCAGTTCCATTGATTTTCGTTAATGTAAGCCTTCCTTCAAACTGGGAAAGTGGTGTTTCTAAGAAGAAAAAAATATTTGAAAATAACATCGTTTGGCAAACTACAGGGCAAAACGCATGAATGTTTTTAAATCTATATAAAAAAAGAGGATGGCTTGCCCTTCACCGGACCTGGTTTATAATGAACATTGTGTACGCAGTGTAATCTGCAAAATGGTTTAGAAAAATTGAAAAGTGTTGAGGTTAGACATGAAGTAAGCCCACACCATTTCCACCTGTTTCCTGAATGAAATCTTATAGGCATACAATTCTAGTGACAGAGGAGGCGGACGAAATGCAATGCCGTCGAGATTGCTTATTATCTCTTTCACGATTAAACATTGCGTCTGTGTGCAGTTCAAGATTCGAGATGGCTACGCTGACACAAAACAATTTAGGGCGCCGATGGAGCAGACTTAGAGTAGAATATGCTACAATCCACAGCCCCGAACCCGCGTCGCGTCACGCCACCCGGGTCGTTACTTCGACCCGTCGCGTCGTGATTGTTAACCGTCACATCGTGCTCTCACCGTCGCCTCACCGTCGCATCTCTCTAAGGGGGTGCCCTTAGAGAGATGCAGTTCAGTTCAAATGATCCTATCTTTCTGGAGTAATCATCCACGTCGATACACGGATCACTAATAGGACGGTGATCTGAATTTAAACAGTAGTTTTTATTCAGATCATCAAGGAAAGCAATGGACTGCATTCACGTGTCGGCCATCTTCAACTGAAAGTAAGGTAAAACTTTTCATTTTCGGAACATGAGAGTTAAAATTAACAGTGACGAAATAAAAGTCATATATAGTGATATACATCGAAGTGTTTCAAGCCACATTAAAAATAATGAAGGTGAGGTTTGGTACCAAAATTGTCTGACACCACCAATTTTTCAAATTCTATGGAATATGATAGATTTAAGGAACAAATATGCCTTCCGTATCAATGGTCTATAGTTTAAAGCCTTTGTAAAAGTTACCGACAGTAACATCGCACTATCCCAGACTTATTTTTCCAGACTCATTCCGTCGATGAGTAGTTGTATTGTCACCTTTGAATTACCGATCAACGACTCATCATCCGCGAACATATAGGCCCAGGTTTGTTTTCTGAAGATAATCTAAGCATGTGTGCTATAAAGATTTGTTTACGGTTTTACGAGAGTTCTTAAAAAAAAAACTATATTTTGTGTGACCTGGGTGGATTTTGTCGGAACAAGATAGTTGAGTTTGTTCCACTCATCCACACACACACTACGTCAAAGTAGGTTTGAAGAACAAAGAGAACAATAATTGGTTCGCAGAAGGCAACCATTTTTTCATACATTTGTTTCAACACTGGTCTCCTCATAGTTACTTTGTGGTGGCGCAGTGAAGATTATTTGCATATAATTATCACAGACTTACCTTCACTACAATTACTTCCTGTGTAGACTACTGGGCATCTGAAATGATCGAAATGATTGATCAACGAATTAGATTCAGTCAACAACCACAAGCCTAAAACCGGAATAACCTAGCTGATGTTTATTATTGTTTGTTATTATCATGTTTATTATTCACGATTAAAGGTATACACCATTTGGAATATCACAAAAAAGGCACCGCCGAATAATCCTTGAATGTCTTGCACGAAAGGAAGTAAATAACAACCTCGGTAACTCTGTAAAACTATTTCTGCCCAGGATTATGCTTGTTTTTACCTTTTATTACGATGGTCCGCCAGCCATTCTTTAAAAGATCGATTTAGATACCATAATTTATTTGTCAACGTGCGAAAAAGGAGTCCGAATAAAGGGTAATACTAAAAGCATCTAAAAACAAACCAGTAGAAATTCACTAAACGCATTGAAAACTGAATGAAGACAACAAAAACAAGAAATTTTCCTCGTTTTCCTCCCTTCTGTTCTTTTGATGTTAACAGCTTTACTGCTTCAACTGGACAAAATAAGCGAAATTGAACTTACTTGCAAGTGATTTCGTCGTTGACGATTGAACATGTTCCTCCGTTGGCACAAGATGAAAATTCACAGAAAGGAGTTGCAATAGCTGTGAAGAATTACGAAGAGAAATGTTTGTTTGGAATACGTCATCTTACAGGCCACAGCTCCAAAGCTGCTTCAGCAGAAAATTTGCTTTATGCGGGAAAAACTTTTGCTTAATAAACAAAGGTTACCAGCTCAAACTCTATCTGATTGTCATGCTAACCAGAAGGAAAAAAAAGAAAAAATAGCTAAATACAATCCCAAAACAAAACACATCACATAGAGTTTTGCCTGGTTACCTGATTTAGCAAGTATCGGTCAGGCTTTTTGCTTAAGCAAATTTTGTGCTACGACAGCTCTATGAACTTGGCCACAGCAGAGAACCGAAATGTGCATCACCTTTTTGCATAAGCTACTTTTTTAGTATCAACGAGTTTCAAAACAGCAAAAACAGTGAATCCAAACCTCAGATATCTTAACCATAGCAAAAGAGAGCCTGAAAGTATAAGGTCACGCTTGGTACCCTAGCGGGGCCTGTCTATGGAGTTTTTAAATGGGTAGCACTATCACGTTTTAAAAAGAAATGGCAGGATAATGCTGAAACAGCCCGCAAGAAACATTCATGACTGGATCTCATGCTTATGTCCGAAACTGTTATAAACTCAGCTGGAGGATTAAAAAAAAAGAATTGAATTTCACTGATGACCGTTCACTTCTGATATAATTATTGTTCCCAGGTTTCCTTGCACGTTTATATTCGCGTAATGAACTTACATGAGAACGGGAACATAGAAAGTTGGTCAGATTCGGGCAATGTTGCAGTTGCTATGAATGGATTGGTACGGCAGTAAATTGGTCTTTTCGGGGAAAGATTAATGAACGAAAAATAATTGTCCTTCCCATGATTCATGCATATTATCTTTCCTATTCAAGGGGCCTGGAAGTACACCATCAGGGGTCAATTTTCAGGCTCTTTAACTTGGCTGCGGCTTGAAATTAGATATGACTCAATGGTCATACGCAGACGCAGCCAGCATCCAATACTCTTATCATACCAAACACAACATGTCTACACGCATGCATGCTCAACGCGAATGGCGGCATCAAACGCGCACACAGCACATGAACAGCACACATATATTTTGTTAAATATGAAAGGGCTGCGTAGCACCATGATCAGAATATTGGCAAAAATACATAGAGTAAGTGCTCATAATTTATCTTATTGCCGAGCTTTCGGTAACTGGGTACCTTCGTCAGGACAAGCAAGATATATTGTTCCCGGTCAGAGAGGTAGATCATTTACAGTACATTTTGTTCCCCGTCAGAGTAGTAGATCATTTACAGTGCATTTTGTTCCCAGTCAGAGCGGTAGATCATTTCAGTGCTGTCAACTTGCTATGGATGGATAAAGAATGATACGTACCTATGACAGTAATTGTATCTGGCACCAAAGTCACAGTAGTGGATGAGTTGTCTGCAGCGATGATGTCGGTGGAGATATCCTCTGCGGTTTTCGATATACTCTCCAGGAAATGCAACGTGAAGTTTACGACGATGCTCCCATTGGAAAAGTTATTTACCTCACAATCGGTGGCATTGGTCGCATCCATGAGGAGCTTGGGTAAAGTGTACATCAACATGCTGAATAAAGTTGGACTGGTAATAACGCCAGCGTGGCATTGATTAAAACTGCTCGTGCGCACGCACACAACGGTCATGTTGGTAGTATTATGGAAGGAATAACTTCATATGCAAATAAGAGGAAAAAGTAGATCATGTAGAGATACAAACTCAGAGACTTCAATAGAACTTCAAACTTCTTTTGAAATAAGACCAACTATTAGCTGGAGGAAATATTGAATAATTGAGACCTGAAGTAAGACAGTTATTATAATGGCATGATAAGAAGATTTTTCTTCAAACGATATGTGTGAGATTCCCAATGCAGCGCGCCACCAAGAGTATGCCGCAGACAGGCCACTTATCAAGTTAACGGTCGACGCCCTACCGCGATTAAACGCACTTAGTACGCAAATGTGGGGATATTCTTGCATTTGGTGTTCCCTGCTCCACACAGAACTATCACTTTGACCACCTAACATGTATCTGCAATAAGCAATTTCGAAGTTTTTTACAAATTTAAACAAATATTCAGAAATAATCAAGCTTTCCGAAAACAGCACGATTTAGCGAATGAGACTTTTCCAAGGATGGAGACTTTGGGACTTTGTCGACTATTTATCTCATAATGCACTGCAAACAGGTCTCTCCATGACAATCTCTTGGTGGCGCACTGCATTGTGAATCGTCCGTATTGAACGGAAATACCAAATGAATATACAATACCTAACTAAACGCAGTCTTCACTTAAAACAAATTACTGGGGGAGAACGTTCCATTAACCATTACCATGTATTTATCCTTCAATCATTAAGGTTGTAAGACAACGACCGAAAATCGGCTCACCTGACAAAATCGTAACTCGAGCTGTTTAAACACAGTTGAAGACTTATTTACGAGATCACTGTTGAACTCTGTGATTCCGTCGATTTCCTGTATAGATACCGCTCCATCAAACTGGGACAGCTCTGTTTGTGAAAAGCCAAAAGAGGATTATTGAAAATAAGATCGTTCCGGACGCATAACTATAGGGCAAAGCGCCGTTATTCTCTGTTATAAAAATAATAAGAGAATGGGTGTAAGATATCCAAACACCGATTTTCTATTTTAGGTGGAACGATCGGGGGGAAAATGTGATGCTCTGTATTTGCCAAGCACTTCACTGATGTTTTACAATTGATGTTTTACAATGAACACTGTGTACGCAGTGGTGTCTGCAAGTTGGTTAGAAAAATCAACAGATGATAAAGTTAAACCCATATCCAACTCTTTCCTGAATCAAATCCAAAGCATGTAGCCTAACTTTAATGACAGAGGCGGTAGATGGAATGCAATGCAGTCTAGACTGCTTTGAATTCTTTCTTTTCCTCTTTTCTTGCGGTGAAATCGTATAAACCTCGATGACTGTATTTATTCAGAAGAAAGATATCTGTTATGGAGTATCATAAACAATGATGGGCTTACTACGGCAACGGCCTTCGACGAGGGTCCATCCACCCAGGCAGTTTTCACAGTGGGACTGCCCCGGACCGTCGTGCACGCAGTCAACAAAGTCCTTATCCTCGCAAGCTTGCTTGACGGTGCTGTTCGCACACGGGAAGATTTCTGGAAAGAGAAAAATGACTTTGAAATCGGGCCTTTAAGCACGCATCGCTTAACAAATAGTCTCACTCCAATGCAAAGGTGGTGTGGACTTGCATCGGAATTTGAATTTTACAATGGTTTTTAAACACGCTGTAAAATACAGCCTAACAATAAAACTGACTGCAATTCAAGGCTGGCTTTCTTTCTTTTCCGGATGACAAAAAAGGCAAGAGCAGAAATAACACGACCAGAAACTGTTAATTCTTACCAGTGCAGGCTCCCCCATCAACAGCAGGTGCAGCATAACCCGTTCTGCAAGTCCTGCAGGTGAACATGTCGGATGTGCCTCCGAAGATGCACTCGTCGTAGTTTAAAGCGTAGCAGTTGTCAGTACTTTCCTCGCATGGGTTTATTTCTGCATACAATATGTTATTACCAGTGTATGAAACTCTACGTTAAGCGGAGCGTCTGTGGAGTTTTTTTCCATCTTACTGAGTGAAACACAATGAGCCAGATCGGTGTTTCATATATTTAGCCTTGGTCATTTGAGATTCATGATAGCTGCGCTGACAGAAGAATAATCTATGGTACTGATAAAGCAGACGTTGGTCGAGTTCGGGCGGCCTGTTCTTGACACGGGTTTCTTGTTCTTTCGCTCGAACGGCGGGAACATGACTCAAGAACACTGTTCTCGGAACAGGATCACACACCACCTCCTCGTCAGGGTTTTACAGGAACACACGAAAAAACTCGTGAGATTCTGATTTTTGAACAGCTGCAAAAGTAGAGAGATGGCTTCCAAAGCCATAGACAATGGGAAGTTTTGCAAAATTAACATTAATTACTTTCCCTCACACAGAAATGAATGTTCCTGTTTATATAGAAAAAAATTCAGCCCATCCAAACATTAACTCTCGAATAAGGTAGCCTACATGGACGCCGCCACGTTGAATGTTGCTTGTCACTAACTACCAGCGATAACCAGCTGTTTGTTCCCGGCGTTCGAGCGGCCGACCCGCGAACAACAAATCGAACTGTTCGTGAACATACGGGAACAAGCCGCCCGAACTCGGCCTTTGTGTGCAGATGGTGCTGTTCCTGAATGACCTGAGACGCACGTCAGGTTTGAGCATGCACTGCTCGAATACCTATACCGGCTTGTTCATTGCCTTAGTAAAAAATCAGTCCAGAGTATTACCGCAGTTAGATGGCCTATTACGTTCTGACGTAATCTGACCAATCACAAGGCTTGTTCCAGCAGCCTGCAATGGATTATATGGGTGTTTCCATGTTATGAGGTGCTTTTCTTAAACGCTGCAGCACATGGAACAAAAACACTAACGAAAAATTTCATTTGCAAAAAGTTGATTGGCCGTGCTGAGAACCTGACGACAGACATAAACTAGAAGTTGTAGACCATGTTTGTATCGATGGGATTTAAAATTTGTCGTTACCAACTTGAGATATTTCAAGTTGAATTTGGACAAAAGTTGTATCAGCGAGGTTACTTTGCCCATTTTGTGGTAATACTCTGGACTGAAAATGAACTGTTCAAATTGCGTCGCCATAAAAATGATAGTCAGAAAGCAGATGCTCTTATTGAAATATTGGGTTATTCTGACCTGGTTCCACTACCGTCGGAGTTGAGCCGGTTTTGATCATGCTGTCCGGTTCGACAGTGTCATTCTGGGAACCGGTCAACCCTTCTATGAATGCTTGAGAGAGTTGTTCCTGGGTAAGGGTTGTCTGTGAGTCCAAATCGACCAGGAAGGTTACGGAGGTTCCGCCTGTGTCGTTAGACATGGACGTGACGGCCACGCCCTTCAAATCGGGCTCGATGAACGACGAAGCATTCAACAGTGCGAACACCTGCAGCAAAGATTATTGCAAAGTGGATTAGTTATTAAATTAAATGAATAGTATCAAACGTGTAATTCCTTCAGCCTTCGAGGCATCCCGTTATTGCGTTCGATGGGGCGAACCACGAACTTAAGTAAAACTGAAAACTATCGATTCTTGGAGAATTATGGAAACATTCAACACCGGCGGCATAGAACTATCAGACTTTTTTCTAAGTCGGCGGTATGTTGGTGCCGAACCAACCTTTTACTCGAGAGCTTTATTAGAAGGATTGCCCCCTGCCGGTTTATCATAATACAGTTCTGGAGACACAACTTAGTTGGCTGTGGTGCACCCAGCCATCTTTTATGAAAAAATACCATTCTCAAACCCAAACCTGAATACGACACTATTTGCTCGGTAAAAACACCAAAGGTTGGTTGCAATCACTTACGTCAGCAGCAAGATCGACGCGGTTTGTTTGGGTGTCAACTTGTGTCAGGGCATTGATGGCTGATATGCCCTTGATCTGGACAAAAACAACCACCAGATTTCGAGACAAAGTCGCTGAGAATAGGAACAAAATAAACAGTAAGAAAAAGGTGACATTAATGATCACAGCCTAAAGTTTCTTAAGACTCAGATAAAGACATAATTCTCAATTCTTCGTTTTCAAAGAAATATAGAGTCTATTTGCATAAAGCAATGCTTGATAATAAAATTCAAAGGAAAATCGATTCAATCGATGCAATGCGAAAATTTGGGGAGGGGAAGAAAATTGGTCCTTCTACGCATGGTGGCGTTTAAAGTGTACGGAAGTACGATACATATTTCTGTACATACCGACGCAATCTCCATTGACACGGAGGTAGTTTGTCTGACAGCCACACATAAATCCACCCACAGTGTTGATGCATTTCTCGCGATTGGAGACGGAACAGTTATCCGTATTGGTGAAACACTCGTCAATATCTGTGGAATAAGGGATACAGTTTACCAGGGACCTGCAAGGCTTCACAATTTCATGATTTTTCAGCTTAAAAGTCAAGTCGCAATCTCGGGAAATTGTGACCGAGTGTTTCCTTGGGTCGCTGTTATCGAGGGCCTGTTTGTTTCACATGGATCTGGATCAGTGATCATAAAGTTGGCTCACTCCATCCATTAGATTACTTCTGGTGTCATCGAACCAACATTGAACCACTGATCGAGATTGGATAAAAGGCACTATCCTTGTTGATACCGAGAATCATTTGAAATGGTGCACTATCCAGATAAGACAATCATACCTTCACATGTCCTCCCATCTCCCATGTATCCACTGTTGCAGGTGCACGTGTACGAACCGTCTGTATCCATGCAGGCAGCACTGGTGTGACACGTGTGGCTGCCATCAGTGCATTCATCGTTATCTGAGGGAGAAATACGTTGATATTAGCTACATTAAAAACCTGTTGGCGAAAAAACTTATCGACGAAAAACACAGAACAAGATTAGCGCGATATCAAAATTGATTTAATCGTATGATTTCATCCTTAATCAAAGTTACTGCCTGAATGAAATAATTGTTCAAACTGAAAGTGCAAGAACGGTAACTGTGAGCGATCGCCTTAGCATTGGGTACAATTGTGGCTTTCTGCTGCTTTTTATTTGTGTGAGAAAAATGACAGGACAGCGGGAAACTACAGTTGGGGTCCTGTGCTTTCCATCATATAAAAGGCTGCATACAGAGAAACATTGCACTCCGAAGACGATTAACAGTGTGACGTGGCACTGTCCAAAAAGAAGTCAAGGTAGAATTTGTCTGTCAGACATTCAAACCCATTTCAATATTAAAGACGTTTGTGTAAATCAGGTCACAGTAGTCACACTCTGCTCTTTTTACGTCACAGTTGTGTTTTTTCTACAAGTGGCTGCTAAAACTATGGCTGGCCGTCAGTACAAAAGTAAAAGAGTAATTCACAGAATGTTGAAAATCCCACGCAGCTATCAGAACGCCAGATCATAATACGCACACCTCTAAGTTACAAACGAATGGAACGACTGTACATTTAGAATAAATTGGGGGTAAAATCGACAACCAACCAAAGGCTGATTTTTTCTACAAACTTTGGCCGGCCTCACAAAGTTGTGGGCAAAAAGTTATCGAGAGTGGTCTGTAATTAACATAGACAAGAATTTGCTGATAATGCAATACTTACCGGAGCATTTTTGTCCATTGCCCGAGTAGCCAGCGTTGCAGTCACATCTAAAATCACCAGCCGTGTTGGAACACATGGCGTTGGCATCGCAATTGTGAGCGTACATGAACATTGTGTCTAGTGTTGTGCATTCATCGATATCTACAGTAGAGAAGCGAAACTGAAGTTTCAAATTTTCTGCTTTGACTCCGAACTTGACACGACGTTTCTCACACAGAGCGTTAAGCTTATGATGGTATTACGCGCCATAAGGTACAAGCTTATCAAATCTGCCAATACAGCCCAAGAACAACGTTTAGAGTTTAAACACTTTTTTGTACCCACTATTTTCCACACTTTCAACCCATGACGTGTTTATTAAAATGTGTTTACTCGTCAAAAGCAACTCTAATTTTTGCAGTGTAGTACCCACTCAATGGACTTATTATGCAGTGTTTTTACGAAATTGTTAGTGCAAATAATAAATCAAGTTTCTGAATTGTATTTTGCTGCCAGTTGTTGATCCTTTGCGTGTAAAAAATTGTAGAGGACCTACTGATTCTTATTCACAGTGAATTTATCCCACGTTCCAAAAATGATGACATGTTTTCAATTTTAGCTCTGTATTTATTTTTATACTGGGAAAGGCCAAGAAATGCTCTTGAGAATTTTCCTGAAAGGACGAACCTCACAAACAATATGTCCCCAATTGTTTGCAAGACAAGAACCGCAACGGATTGCTCCTGAATTTCCCCGGTAAGACGTACACCTGGGAGAATGTGCCCTGTATTATTATTTTAATGAAGGTGGGACTTACCTGTGCAACTTATACCGTTGCCGACATATCCGGCCCGGCAAGTACACGCGAAGCTGCCGTCTGTGTTAGTGCAGTCGGCGTTTGTGTCGCAGTTGTGCGTACCTTCGGTGCATTCGTTGATGTCTGCACATTCGACCCTGGCATTTCCGCGAAAGCCAGCAGCACATTCGCAGTAGAAGGACCCCATGGTATTGGTGCAGTCGCTGTTGCTGGCGCAGCTCGAATTATTGGAGCACTCATCTTCGTCTGCCCATGAAAAATGATTAAAAGCCGTATGTTTCAGGTGCAAGAGCAGGTGCACGGTTAAAATAGGAGAATGTACGGCTGGAGTTTATGGTGGACAAATTTTCTCGGTACATCCAATACAAGTAACGTATTGTCTAATTACAGTTAGGAACCAGACGAGAGTTAAAAACTCGTATTGAACGATAGAAGTAAATCCAGCGATACGTATCACAATGTTTAATATGTTTAAGTGGTAATTTGGGGAGGTCTGCTGAAATTGGATATTTTAAGTTTTCTGTTGAAAATGAAATATTTTAGTGGAAGTAACAATGCTTTCAATTTAATACAATTACAAAAAGAGCTCTGAAGTACACACAAATACCCAAAGCGTAGAACGTGAGACATATCTATTTGTGTAGCGCCTACCTGTGCACGTTTGTCCATCGCCGGAGTACCCAATGTTGCACGAGCACGTGTACGATCCTTCTGTATTCATGCACACTGCACTATCATTGCAAATGTCTGACATGCTGCACTCATTTATGTCTGAACAGCAAGAGATAAATAAAAAATAATGATGACTTCAGCCGTTTTCCTTAGTTAGACGGCTATCTTTCTCTGTTTCTTTTGGGGGGGGTGTTGCTACCTACTGATGCAGCAAACGGAATCGGTAGAAAATACAACTGACTTGTTTTTCTTCTCTGAAGTGTTTTTTTCTGTTCTCTAAAGTGCACTGGAAGCATCCTTCATTAGAAAAAACAAACGCTCAAACAGAAAACGATTCGACTGATCGAAATTTTGAAGGCACTGAGTTCTGTGGTGTCTTGAAAATGCTTTTCTTGTCAAGAAATGAAATTTTGGAGAGATTCTCCCATAGGACGTGACATGTAATGAGATTGGGAATGTGTGAGTTTCTTGGTTCTTGTTGCTATTGCGTGCCAAGCATTGCCCCAAGAGTATAAAGGGAGGGAGGGAACCAAACCAAACCAATCCCAACAGAACTGTCTATCGTAAGACCATCAGTACCAATGTTGTGGTATATTAACTTACCAAAGCAGGAAACCCCATCCCCGACGAATCCGGTATTACACGCACAGCTATATGACCCCTCGTTATCCGCACAAGTGGAGTTAGCGTGGCAGGGCTGATTTGTTACACACTCATTGATATCTGAGACAAATTCAGACCAAAAAAAAATTCTTGGGAGGGTGTTTCGAGATATCACTTAAACACCCTATGAAAGACAAATCAACAAGTTCTCCAGGGAACTCTACCTCCTTCTTAGAACTTTTATAGCATTTCTGCGGTCGCCTTTGATATCTTTATCGTATACTAAAGCTTCAAGAACCATTATCGAACAATTGTTACAAATAGTCTTTGAATTTAATTCAAATTTGTCTGCCTTACTCGCGCAGGTTGTTCCATTTCCTTCGTAGCCTCCGTTACAGGTGCAATTGAAGCCACCGTTGGTGTTGGTACACGTCGCATTGCCGTCACAATTGTTCGTGTTTCCTGAGCATTCATCAGTATCTGAGATAATGTTGCGTCAAAGCACAAATGTTAAAAAACAAATGTTTTCTTTATTTGTTTTCTGTATTTGACATTAATCAACCAGAATCAATTTGCTTATTTAAAACAGTTGAATTCTACCTATGCATGCACTATTTGTTTTATTTAATCACGTTTCCCCTATCGTGCATTTTAGGCAATAAAGAATCTGAACTGAACTGAATGAAGTAATGTTGTCTTGAACTGAAATTACTTAAATACGGGCGTTTCACAATAGTTCGCCTCCAGAGTTTGCATGGCGTTGGCCAATCACAATGCGCGAACTCTGTCGACCCAATGCGCTTTCTGGCAATGGTCGACGGATTTCGCACATTGTGATTGGCTTATGTGTTGCAAACTCTTGGAGGCGCACTATTGTGAATCGCCTGTATTACAGTATTAATGGCGCAAATCGTCCTTTCGAATTTCCTGCTAGTAGCTGGAACAACAAGGGAAGTACTTATTAATCTATGATGCTCATTATACAATTGGATCATACATTGTCTTATCCGTTAGCATTTCATTTGAGTGATATCCACTGGTGCACGTTTAGCGTTTGCTGCACTTCTGAGCATGGCTTCAAACTAAAAGGCAAGTATAGGACAAGAAACGTTACCGAAACAGTTCCTCATATCGCTGGCCAGTTCGTAGCCAGATGCACAAGAGCAGGTGTAACCACCGGGAATATCGGTGCAAGTACCCTGGTCAGCATCGCAGTTATCAGTCATCGTGGCGCATTCATCGAAATCTAGAAGCGAAAATTAGGCCAGCATTGTGAGATACAACATCATCACACGGATCGGAATTTTGCGCATTACTGAAAAAAAATAAGAATCATTTCTGGAAACAGATTTCAAGCATGCATGGTGATGACCTTCTGTAATCGTAAAAACAAAAAAAAAAGTTTCAAACTTCAACATCCTGTACAAGAATGAAATCGCAGGTAATTATATGTCGTTGTGATAGTCTTCTTCCCATCTTATCGCATCTAAAATGCCATTTCATGCACATGCGTGCATAATCATGAATTGACTAGTGAAAGGGTCTATTATTCAAACGAAGGTTTTCAATGAACTTCATTGTTCAAATGAACTCTATATAACTTGACAAAAAACGCCATGAATTTGCCCTTTCCAACACCCGCTAAAGGAAGTCAGAACGAGCGAAGTTCTGAATAGCTTGATGGCAGATGCTTTATTCCCAAATTTTGCCTCTCTGAAATACTTAACTTGCTCACTGTTTGGTCTTTATTATTACCATACCTGGTCATGGTCAAATAGTTATATAGTTATAGGAAAAGACAAGTCAAAAATCGCATCCTTTCAAATGAGGTCGTCTTGACCCTGTTCTCATTCTTTGGTAAGTTTGGCAAGTAAAGCTTGGAATGGTATTATTGAGTAAAAAACCAATGACAATAACACATTCTGAAGTTTTGCCCCATAGTCCATGGGTGGACATTACCTTCACAGTGTGTGTCGTTGATTTCCTCAAAGCCATTGTCACACCTACAAGTGTCCATATTGGACGTTGTATTAAAGAAGCAAATAGCATTGGCACTGCAGAAATCGGGGTTGGTGCAGTTGTCAGCAGCTAGGAATGTAGAAACACACAAAGGAGCTTCAGTTAAATGTCTAGGTTGAGGGCTCATCTTGTGGAATGTACACATTAATAGATCACCAGAATGTCCATTTTTTTAGGCGGAGATTACATAAATCAGGAATGCCTATACAATTTGAAAAAATTAGAACCATCATGGCTTTGCTTAATCTCAAAAACTTAACAAAAAAATCTGTTTATTAACTACAAAACATTGCAAAGTTTCTTTACTGAAAAAAATTAAAGTGAGTTGATCACAAGATACTGTGATCAGAAGAAAACATGCATGCATGCATTTCGTTAAAAATACATTCAGAAGGAAAGGGGGAGTTTAACATGCCTTTCCCCAAACCTGGTTACATCTGCATGACATATCATCAGATACATAATGTGTAGATTGACTCTCCTTCGCCTTGAACGATTATTTTAGTGACTAAATGCTGTGAGCTGTATCTGCTCAACACCTACTTATCTCTCTTTTACTCAATTCAAACATTAGCAATGGAACTCCTCCTGTAGCCTAACGGCAGAAAGAAACTTTGGAAACACATCTCCATCTGTTTGAACTGATTAATGCTACTTGGCTAAATTTCCTGCACTACTGCGCCGGTGATATCAGGAACAAGTTTGGACTCCAGTGTACCACCAAAACATTGGAATATTGATCCAGCACTTGTTTATATAGACGAATTGGACATGGTGAACTCTGAATTTAAGCGTGGCTTAGTATATGAGTGCAAACTTGTACGGAATCAACGCGTAAAACTGTCTCTATACTACAAGTTCGATCCCACATTATTGATAGGCGGAGCTCGATTTGGACGAGGGTTTACTTGATGTAAGCATGCTTATTCTCACCTTGGCAGTCCCTTTCGTTATCTGCTAGGTCAAAACCATCTTCACAAGTGCATGTGTATCCACCCATGGTATTCATACAATTTTGGGAACAGTCGTCTGTAGCTAAGTTGCACTCATCGATGTCTACAGGAAGAATGAATTAAACTGATAGTTAATTAAACTATCCCATTTGAGTTTTAGGGTTTAGGACACTGCTATATGCACCCAATGTATTTTTCTGCTTTTTTACTTTGAGAGACAATTATTCCCACAATGATCATGCAAACTTTAGAGGTATGCTTTTTGGCTTTAGTATTTTAAGTCCTCAGATTGCGTTACATTCTATATTTTAGGTGGGGTTATACGTAAATTGACGTTCAATTCAAATTGATTGACCAGTCTCAACGCTTAGTTAAGGCTGTAAGCAGGTGTAGCGAGTTTCGATGATTAACCAAAATGCAAATATGGCAATTGTACGTTGGCAAAGCCATAGAAATATAGAGTCTTTGCCGTCTAGATTTGTCCCTCACATGAATTCCAAATTAAACCATGAACATCAACAAAGTTCAACCGATCACACCCTCTTGCCACAGGAAAGAGGGTGTTGATCCTCATCCAATTAAGGCTTTATCCACTGATAAGTCAGGCCGTGCCGGGCCTTAATCTTGACCCTATATCCTAGCTATAGCCGCAGTCCCGGAAGCCCATTCGGAATTTGGTTCACTTACCAGCACATGCGTCACCGTTCTTTGTGAAGCCGCTGTCACAGTTACAGACGAATGACCCAACACTGTTCTCGCACGTAGAATTAACAGGGCAGCTGGCTGCATCTTCGCATTCGTTCACATCTTAACAGAAGAACGAGAGTCATAGTGAATTACACGTTTCACCTTTACAGTTGGAACCGATTGCAGATCCTCAGGTTTCTTCCTTTTTATATAACACAAAATCAAAGTCTGCATAACAAGATCTAGGATTAATCTAAAGTTGGAGGCAGCTGGCTGCATCTTCGCATTCGTTCACATCTTCAACAGAAGAACGAGAGTCATAGTGAATTACACGTTTCACCTTTACAGTTAGAACCGATTGCAGATCCTCAGGTTTCTTCCTTTTTATATAACATAAAATCAAAGTCTGCATAACAAGATCTAGGATTAATCTAAAGTTGGAGGCAGCGATGCACTATGGGTGGGACAGGGTAGCAAAATGAAGGTGCTTTAAATATTTACAATGAGCCCTACATAAATTTCCAAGTATTCTCACTTGCACAAATGGCTGGGGACTGAGACTTTAGGAAACTCAAATCCCAGCTTTACGGGGTCATTTGACCCCACCCCTTCTTAAGGGTCATTAACACACCAAATGACCATTTAACGGAGCTGTTACTTCGCACTGTCTGCAAAAGTTACAACCATAAGAGTCAGTAATGTGTTCAGTATGGTTCTTAGTATATGTTTGTGTTTTATATTACAAGAGGTCGATAAAACTGCAACCTTGATCGAAGGGATGTCAGTAACATCAGCGAAGACGAAATTCAACAAAGGCCGAGTTCTTACCCATACACGTGTTAGTGACATTCTTGTAGCCTTCATTGCACTCGCATCGATAGCTACCGTCTGTGTTGACGCATTGTGATAATGCTGGGCAGGCGGCTTGCCCGTTGGTACATTCATTCACATCTGCGGAGAACAACAGCTCGTAAAATATTCTCTTCCGAGATAAGAGACAATCATCTTGGAACAAATATGTACCACTGATGTCAGCGAGTAGTCTCTCCTCCACTGTTTTGAGATTTGCACATCATGCAAACGACGGTTTTCCTTTTGTTGCTGGAATGTTACCGAGCACGTTACATATGTCGGTAGGGATTGAAACTGATCACTCTCCTTCAGCCCATGGGGGCATAGGCCTTGTGTCTTTGAAAAAAAAGTAATCTATCGATACAGTTCATGTCAATGTCCTTTTGGTCCCATTTAAACTGATTGTCAATTTACGGTGAGCCATTTTAAGGGCATTTTAGTGCGTATTTATTTTTATGCTAATTCACATAAAGCGGAGACCTCGATGTTACAAGATTTCCGCATTATAATTTAACAGATTTTGGATTGTTTTGTTGTCTTAGATTTTCTTTTCTATGGCAATTCGTAGTCATTTAAGGACAGTAGAGCAGTAATTAACTGTGTCTTCCGAACATCTTCAAAGAGTAGATTTCGGGTCGATAGTTTGGACATAATGCCCTCAAAAAAAAGAGTCCCCCCTGCAATGGTACCGCAGACACATGCCCTTTTCAATGAGTAACTAAGGAAGTTTCAGATAGTTTGCTTACATTTAGGAGTGGTAGAAATTTGCTTGAAACACGGTTCCAGGTAAAAATTATGGAGCCTTTTTACATGGCGTTGACATGGATCTCTCCCCAAAGCTGGTGATGTTCTCGAGTCCACCATAAGTTCGTGCACTGAAGCCGCCATTAGATTATTTAGTCGCAAAGGCAAGTCTCAAAATTGTTCAAACTGAAGCGTGACAATAATATTCCCTTGTAGCAATCGCAAATGGATTTATGACTGGATCTATAACAACACCAGGGTAAGCTCAACAGTCCCAACCTAGTTTACATGGCGGGCGAAATGAGTCGCTGTTGGAAAAAGAACAAAACAACCCCCCCCCAAAAAAAAACCTACCCACACAGCTGACTCCGTTGCCAGTGAATCCTGATATACATGTGCAAGTAAAGCTCCCGGCAGTGTTTGTACACGTCGCATTTGGGTGGCAGTTGTCGCCATTGACTGTGCACTCGTCTACGTCTTCACACGTCGACCCATTCTTGCTGTAGCCCGTGTCGCATAGGCATTCGTACGATCCTAGCGTGTTCACGCACGAACTCTGCGCCGGACAAGTGAACTGGGTCGGGTTGTTACATTCATTCTCATCTGCAATGTGACCATAACCATGCAGTAAGCCAATGGGAAACTAAACCGGAGCACGGGACCACAATTGTAGCAATACAGTTTTTGATTGATTTAGGTAGATAGAAATCGTTACTCCACGAAATATATCAAAAATGCACTCTTGAACAATTCATTTAAATGTTTGCTGTTTGTTTTCAGGGGACACTTTTTCGACAGTATACATCTGTCTGAAAATGCTTTAAAACAAACACTTCTAACTGATTTTATCTAAAAGCAACTAAAAATCCAAAATGTTTTGGCCTCATGAAACATAAATCTAAAGTTCTGTGGATTCATTTTAATTTAAACAGCCACAGGCATGACTCTTTGTCACAAATGCCAACAACGACGACGACAATATCGGGACAACGATGCAAAGTAGTGAAGGAAAACTGCTGAGTATTGGACTTGGAATTACTTCGATAAATAAATGCTTAAAGCTGCAGAGGTTGCCAAAGAAGTCTTTACTTTAATCTTAACAATTACCTGCACAATTTGTTCCGTTCCCAAAGAAACCAGTCTTACACACGCACATGTAGGAGCCCTGGGTGTTGGCACAAGTAGCTTTACTGTGACAGGGGTTATCAGCACATTCGTTCGTATCTGTGAGGAGGCAAAAATGTTGCTATTAAGTTGGAGAAATCTTGGTTGAGCTTGGACATAACCTTTGGCGGGTTTGCTTTTCCTCCCTAAAGATCTGACTTCTCCAAATAAAGGATCAAGAGCCACTTCCCGTGGTTAGATATACCTTGAGGAATCTAAACATGCACGTCAAAAAAAATCTGAGCATTTAATACCCCTGAACACGTGATTCAGACAATGAAAAGAAAGCAGGAGTTTCAGGAAATACTACTGTGACGAGTTATTAACACGGGGAAAAAAACGTGAAGATTGCTTCACAAGTCCTTGGGCAATAATGTTAATGAAGAGTAAAGATGAAAAGAGACAGTAATGTTAAACGATTTCCAATCATTTCTCTTTAATGTACCATGCTATTATTCTCATCACAGCCGTCGCTTGTAGTAGTCTTTAGTATAGCTGTTTAGACCATATTGCCTTTACTATTCGAATCGTCAGCAACATTTGCAAAAATATCACTTTTGGTTGGTGTCAAGTTTTGCCTAAATGTGTTTGGTTTAATATAGGCGTTTTTATGCCGGCATGCGTTTTTTGTAACACTGTTTTGCATAAATCTTTACTACGGTGTTTGCCGATTACTTACACCTCGCAGATTGTGTCTTTTTGCTTTTGTGCTGATGATCATCCAGTTTTGCACTGATGGCCAACCGCACACGTGGTAGAATTATTTACATTTAGTCACGTGGGTGACGTGAAAAAGGCCTATACCCCCACGTGTGGATAGCCTTGGTCGCGGTGATCGCATATAATCCTATGGTATACCCAGCAAGAA